AACTTTGAGAAAGCACTCATAAACAGAGAATGGCTGAATATATAGAAAGGAGGTAATAACTGATGGACTGTGGTCCCTTGAGAGATTATGTTTAATTGCAAGTAATGATGAGATCTAGAGTATATTCCCAAATTGAAGGAGATTGGAAAAGAAAGTCATTTGTGGAAAGAACATAAAGGAATCAACACCTCAGCATGTTTGATGTGACATAATCACTGATGCTGAAACAATGTATGATAATGTTAGAAGCTGGCGCAGTAAGAAAAAGAGTGATCCAGATACTCCTCAATGAATGTGGAAAGTGAGCAGTACATGAGCAGATGACAAAGTTGGAGGGATGGTAGTTTAATATTAGGTGACCAGAACCATGGGGCAGCAGGGATGTTTACGAGAAGATGGGAGAGTAAAGACTTAGAAGCTGCACTGGGAAAGAAGGAGGACTTCGATCTTGTGTATTGGAATTATTTAGGATTTGTATTATAAAGTGCTTCAAATTGAGATGGGTTTTGGGAAAAAGTTGACCTCAAAGGACTTTCAGATTCAAATAAAGAAGGGAGTTGGATGGAACAATAAAAAATAATTTTAATAAAAAAGCAAACTTTGGTAACCATGAGTTCCAACGTCAGATGGCATAATGCAAGAATCAGGAGAATGGGGGTGGTGGTTGGATTATAGGAGATATGTGTAGTACAATGGAAATCAATTTGTGGAAGATAGTGAAAAACTGGAGAAGCTCAAAGTTCAGGTTGAGAATCAGAAAAACAGAAGTGTGAGTTTAATCAGCTTGCTTCATGAGGGAAAATGCAAATAACTGGAATGATTTTCAGCTGAGGAAGTGAAAGTCAACAGTTGAAAGAATGGGCCCATTTGTTCCTCAGTGATTGCAGGCACTGACAGTTGCAGAGACCATAGTGAATAGAAGTAACAAGCAAGTCAGCAGGAGAAGAAGGAGAATATTTCAACAAGGGTAGGAGGAAAGCAGGCCACAGAAATGCTTCAGTAACAGTGCAAACAAGTTTAACACGCATTTTCCAGAGTTTCTCTGGCATTTTTTTATGTGTTTTTGTGTTTGTGTGTGTTTTAAATTCACA